TATATATAGTCTGCTAGAGGGTGTGACTTTGGAATCCTGCAGGGCCCTCAGGCCCGCAGCCCTCAGGCCAAATTTATTAATTTTCAAATGAATATTTTTTTAAAATGACACAGCAATCGATTGTCTATTTGCTGTACTGAACAACTTGGAGTTGTTGTAATGCTGAACACTGTTCCAGAGTCTTATTAAATACCATAATGGTTACCCATTACATACAATGTTTGGATGAGCTTCCAGATTGATTCATTCTGGGAAGCAGGAGTGGCATCCACTTCCTAAACTAGATGCCTCTGAAAATTCTACAAACTCTCTAAACTCTATAATTGTACAGAAATGATGTTAGTTATAGAACAGAGTTCAGGTCATTTGTGCAAAGCTTACTCTGAGTCATATTCGACTTGATGACACTTAAACACTGCTAATTGAGACTAGTGCTGTTATATTTGGAGGAATACTCTTCCACTTTGTACGTCACTCTTTGTCAATGTACTGTATGAAGTAACCTGGGCTTGCTGTGATGCTGAACCTTGTGCCATTGTGATATAAAATACCATAATGGTTTCCCAATGTGGACAGTGTTTGGCGGAGCTCCCAGTTGTAAAACAGGTTTAGAAGCAGGAGTGGCATCCACTTCCTAAACCACGTGCCTCTGGAAATTCTATTAACTTGGAGAAACGACAATAATTATGCAAAGGCATAACTATTTTTGTTAACTATCTTGTTGCATAACTATTTTGTCTCTTGTTTATAGAGTCCCTATGAGTCGTGCTTAACTCAACAGCCATCAACAACATCCTATGTATACACACACACACACACACACAGTATACACACAGTCTTGACTGGAAACTAGAGGACTACCAGCTGAGACTTTAGAGTTGACATATGTCATTCATGAAGTACTTTCCAATGACGATTGACTCCACCTTCTTGAGGTTTGTGTTGTACCATTACCCACTGTGGTGGTGGTGGTTGTTGTGTACCGTAGAGTCAACCCATAAATGATCATCCAGTAAGTTTTCAGAGGCAATTAAGCGCACAGGAGGAGGCTGTCCATCCTTCTCCCATAGAGCAGCTGGTGGATTCAAACCACATGCACTCAGGGTTGCAACTCAGCTTCTTGCCACTAGGTTACCACTGCTCCTTACCCACTGTGGTAGACCCACAGCTATCCCATGCTCCACAATAGCCAACCTGAGTGGGCCACAATAATAGTATGTCCCACAGGAAAAGCTAGACTGAGATTAGGGTAAACGTGGTCACTGGAAGCACGGACTGGAGAAACTTGGGCGACTCCTAACTGAAGTCTAATTGGAGAAACATGACAGAGCTTGACAAAAGAAAAAAGCCAGACCCTGACTAGAAAAACATGGTAGAACATGACTAGAGAAATACAGTAAAGCTTAACTGGAAACACAGCAGAGTTTTTTGTTGTTGTTGTTTTTGTTTTTAGAGCTATGGTGGGTCCTGACTATAGAACCGTGATAGACAATGACTAGAGAAACATGGTAGAACTTGACTGGGGAAATAGGGTGGAGCAAAAATAGCATAGAGCTTGACTAGAGAAACGTTGAGTCTGACTTCACATCTGTATATAAGTACTTTCTCCAAGTATGCCTACAGAAGCTATCACCAGTTTACCTGTCAACAAAGTCTGAGAGGGAAGACTCTTTCACCATTTATGGGGTGAGGTTTAGCAAGGAAATGAAGAAGGGGCAACCTTCTTGTGTACCCTACTATCTCAGGAGCTCCCTCTAAAGAGATGCTTCAGACTTGTCTTCCTGAGTTTGCTCATTTCTGGAATTTTCTCTCAAACCTGAGCTCAGCATGAAGTTAAGACCCTTGCTCTATATCAGACCACCAAACCCACTATCTCTTCACCAGTTATCTAGGAAGTGAGAATTACACAAAAGAAAGTCTAATCCTAATTGTCCTTGAACATGATAACAACAAATGAAAATAAAATCTCTGCATTTATTTTTTATGGGTAGATGAAAGGAAGTGATTTTTTTTCTTAGAAACAATTCTTTTTTCTTACAAAGCAATTCTATTACTATGCAACAAAAGGAGCTAGAAAAGTCTGCAATTAAATCAGTTCCACATTTTTAAGTTGGATGCCCTTGAGAAAGTTACTTAACTGTGTTTCTGCTATTTTTTGCAGCCATAAATACTGATAATGACTGTATTATACACACACACACACACACACACACACACACTCTGCCTTCACCTCTGTTTCATACACTATTTCTGAAAAATGGTCCCAGAAAATTACTGCTTAAATATGACCAATAGCAGTATCATTGAGGACAATGTTCCCTCCCAACAGGACTACTCTGAGGGAGCCAGTATCCATGTAGATTTTTATTTGCTGTTATTTCTTCTAAGTTCTCTTATTTACTACAGGAAAGGGGAAAGTAACACTGTTTGAGAATTGCTCTGGTCCCCAAATTCTGAGGAGATATAGCATTCTGGGTCCTTCCAAAGACACACTTACCACATTGGCCAGCTGTGTGATGGCCACTTCAAAATACACTGTCACAGGATCAGACACATTTTCCACGGGCCTGATGAACTGGTTATAGTGAGAGAATAGTTTGTGGAAGAGTTGCTCCTCAGAAGCACAGCACACAGAGCCTGCATGGGTCAAACAGAGGAAAGAGTTAAAGAAACTGAGACATGTGGCCAGGCCAGGTAATCCTCAATTTTCAGTGAGTCGAGAAGTGCGGTGTCCAGACTAATAGAGTCAAAATAGGCTAAGTCAGGAAAAAATGAGGAGAGGACAGAAAGAGGGAAAAATGTTAGGAAGGTTATCCACGAAGGGGGGAAAAAGCAAAAAATGAATGTTAAGGGTAAAGATCAAATAAAGCAGCCAGAACCAGACTGTCCCAAAAGCAATGTCATGTGACCAGTGACTTCAAAAACAACAAATTGGAGTAGGAATCACCCACTAACTTTTTAACTTGCCAAGCCATCATCCCATTAGCCTAGACTCAAGCCCTACAATGCACCCAAATGAGGAAGGGAGCCAGCTATACTAACTTGTGAGCCTAGTGACACGGGGTCTTCCCCAATCCTTTCTTTTTGGAGAGCTCTGAATACCAGAAGAATGCATCGTTGTGCTTTATTGACTATGCAAAAGCATTTGGCTCTGTGAGTCATAAGAAATTATGACTAAGAATGGGATTCCAGAGCACTTAACTGTGGCTCAGATTAAGACCTAGACCTAGACCAAGAGGCTCTTGTGTGAACAGATCAAGGTAACACTGCATGGTTTAAAACTAGGAAAGATGTGAGTCAGGATTGTATCCTTTCTCCATACTTATTTAATCTGTTTGCTAAGCGAATTGCTCAAGGAGCTAGACTCGATGCAGAAGAAGGTGGTATCAGGATCGGAGGAAGACTCATCTATAACCTTCATTATGCAAACAACACAACCTTGGTTTGTCAAAAGTGAGAAAGATTTCAAACACTTTCTGCAGACGGTTAAACACTGCAGCCTTCAATATTGATTGCATCTCAATGTCAACAAAACAAAAATCTTCACAACTGGAAAAATAGGCAACAATTATGGTAGATGGAGAAAGGATTGAGACTGTCAACGACTTCATCGTATTTGGAGCCACAGTTAGTTCACTTGAAACCTGCAGTCAGGAGGTCAGGAGATGTATTGCATTGGGAAAGTCTGTAGTCAGGGATCTCTCCAAATTTATTGAGGAGTAATGATGTCAGTTTGAAGACTAAGGAGCAACTGATTCAAGCCATAATCTTTTCAGTCATTTGCTAAGCATCTAAGAGCTGGATAATGACTAAGGATGATAGAAGAATTAATGCCTTTGAACTTTGGTATTGGATAAGAGTATTGAATATTCCATGGACTGCCAAAAGAACAAACAGATATGTCTTGGAGAAAGTGCAGCCAGAGTGCTCCTTGGAGGCAAAGATGATGAAGCTTTATCTCAGACACTTTGGGCATGTTGCTAGAAGAGGTTATTCCTTGGAGAGGGACATCATGCTTGGGGATTTGGAGGGACAGTGAAGGGAAGGAAGATCCTCAACTAGGTGGGTTGACACAATGACTATGAGCTTGAGTGTCAGAGATTGTGAGGATGGCTCAGGACAGGACAGGGCTCAGACCTGTTGTTTGTTGCTTGTCGTTATGAGTTGTACTTGACCTAAAGGCAACTTTCAATGAAGGGTTACCCATTTCTCTCTTTGAACAGTATCTTTTTTTAATAAAACTACCTTTACTTTCACCTTCACTCTTGTCTCCTCCCTTTTCCTCTAGGTTGTGTGCTCTAACAGAGGCTCCGCTCATGTCAGGACTACTCTTTGTACATGAAAAATAGTTCCATTAAAATTGTACACCGTGCTGCTTCTGTAGCTCACGCCATGTCCTCTCTAGTCTCTCTCATTTGCCTTAATTCTTTAGATGAGTAAGGAGGACCAAAGCCAGGGCATTAATGACATATTGTAATATTTGGTTGCTGAAACATGGGAATTTATTCTCTGATTAGGTGGGTGAGGAGAACCAAACCAGACCAACACCAGGGGATTCAGCCACTACCAGCCTTCCTGTTGGTTGGCATTCTTTTTGTTAGCATTCCAACCTGTTTCCATTCTTTGTCTGGGCACGAAGGATTGAAACCAGGGTAATAAGACCACTTGTGAACCCCTTTTCCAGTGCTTTGTGTTTTTACCTGCCCCTCCCCTTGGGCCCATTTCTCCTTACCTCTCCGAGCTGCAGCTGCTCACCTTTAAGCTAGTGTAATAATCAGATACCATGTTAAGAGTCCTTCTAAAAGTCAAATGCACCACCAGGGTAAAGGGATAGAACCAAGGCTTGGAATTTTTTATAATGTTCCTAGATGTAACTGTTGACTGAACAGAAGTTTTATGACAAACTAGAAGTTTCGTCATATTTGTAGAAAAGTCTCACCTTTTCTCATCTACTACACTCATCTGACTGACTGCTCATTCTAAAATCAGCAAGGTGTTTAGCTGGGGAATCTTCTCAAATAAAATTTAAATGACTAGCAATTTCATTAAAGTCTTAGCAAGTAATCCTCTTTTTACACATCAATGTTGAAATGTAATTAATTTGAAAAATCATGAGGATGTAAGGTCTCATAAAATAAATTTATTCAAAATATTATGTAAGAAATTTAAAAATTGTTAAAGAATAGCATTTTCAACTTTGTATTTTAGACAGCATTTCAAAGCATACTGGCTCTTTGTACTTTTTCAGGAATGTTTTAAAAGGAAATAATTTATTTTCCTCTGACCTAATTCATCTTTGTTAACACCCCCCTCTACAATCTCCTTATAGAATTCACACTTGACAACTGAAATGATATTCTATACATTTCCCAAGGAAATTTACGTCTTGAGGGTGGGGAGGGTGGAAATAAAGAGCTTGTCAGGTTCAACAAGTAAAAATTTTAAAAAGGATTGCTTTTTTGCTAAATAAAAATATCTGGTTGACAAGTACACTTGGAAACAGTAGGATTTTAGTAGAAAAGTTATTTTATATATAAAATAGTATCTTACCCTTACCGTTAACAATGATACAATCTTTTCAGACGAAAGAAATTGGATAAAAAAATTGAAGCTAGCACATTATTTTTTACTTGAAATAGCTTAGAAAAATCCTCCCCAATCCCTCATTTTTCTTACAAAACAAGTTCCCTGCAAACCTAACAACACACAGAAATTGTTGAGCAGATCCTTTTTTAAGTCTTCACTTTGAAAATGAATTCTCTTTCTCTTAGGGTACACTTCACAGGAATAATAGAGCATGTTCCCTGAAACAAGGATGATTACCTTTAAGTTGAAATGTTTATAGATTGAGTAATAGTGACAGCTATCAAATAAAACATGGGTTTGGGGGGGAAATGAAACACAACTACACACACAAGTTGAATGCATACAAAACAGAGACAAAGAGTAAATGACAATGTTTTTATTATTATTATTTAAACGAAAATAAAGCACAGTCTATGCTATGTTTTTCTACCCTCGCTCCTTAAAGAAACAAATCTCATCTTTTGACTTAAATCTAATTAATAAAAATCAGACAGATTTGCTAGCAGTTACAACAGTGGTGGTTCCTATACTTCACATATTTACCCACAGATTACCTCCTATCTGCTCATTCAAGCTCAATTCAAAGAGCATACACATACAACTGAAAAGGAAATATGAGATATAATAGAAATAAAACCTACCTTTAAAGAAAGACATGAACATGCACAACCAGAGACACACACCAAAGTGAAGGGCTCCCTCACCCTTGCTGGCGAGCATGATTACAACACTCTCTGACTTCTTTTTCTAGGCAAAGGAGTGTGGCAAACAAAGAGCTGTCAGACAGTTACACGCATCAGATCTTTAAATCATCAGAGTCTCTCTGCAATCCATTTGTGTCTTCTCAGAAATAAAAGCATTCACAAGACATACTCAGTTGTTCTAGCACCAGAGACTGAGGCAGACATAAAAGGGCAAAGGAAAAGGGACTCAATCTGATGTCAGATGAGTCATCATGTCTCCTGTCACCTTAGATCTCTTTTCGTGCAAGAGTGATGGAGCAAAGCAGCAAAGGGCCAAGAGACAGGAAGGACTGAGAGAGGATGGAAAGCATTTCCATGGCTTCACAGATATTTCTGCAGCCCAGATCGCACCACAATCCTTAGATGAATACACACAACTGTAAGTGAGACATATGTTGTGCGCCCTTCCCATTTCCTAGTGACCCCATGTGACAGAGCAGAGCTATTTTGCAGGGGTTTTCAGACTGTAAACTTTACAGAAGCAGATCACCAGGACTTTTCTCCAGTGGAGCCGATGGTGGGTTTGAACCACTGACCTTTCAGTTAGCAGTCAAATGTCTAATAACTATGGTACCACCACAGTTCCCTAAGTAAGGCATATCGAACTTAGTCTGAACTGACTCATAGCTGACTTTTTAGTAGATTTTCAGGAGCTACAAACCACACTGAAAGAAAGTGTCCATCTTTCTACCATGGAGCCACTGGTGGATTTTAATTGCCTGCCTCTGGATTGACAGAACAACTCACTTATTAAGCCACCAGAGTTCCCTTTAAGTAAGGCCTATACCAGGTCTCAATGAGTGTATTCTGATTTATATTTCTAGTTCATGTCAAGGCTTAGCCAGAAAATTCTATTTTTTAAAAAATAAAAATTTAAAATATACCTCCACTTTTTCTCTTAAGAAGCACAATTTAGACATTAAAATGAATTTGGGTTTTGCTGACTTCTCAGGATCTAGTGCCTTGTCTTTTTAGTGTCAATCATCAGCATCCAGGACCAAAGGCCTAGATGAAGGAGAATGAGAGGGATGGGTACTGGACTGGGCATATTTATGTGTGCTTAAATGTCCTTTCCATCAACTGATTTCCTTATCATTTTCCTCTTTAAATTTAGCATCAATAGGATTCCAATTAACTGAGCCATCTGATTGCATCTTACTGTTAAAGAGTTGAATCCAAAGATGTTCTCAGGGCCTCCCATTCAAACATTCTGCAGTATGATTTGAAAATGTACAGAGTTGTATTGCACAACTTCTCTCAAGATTCCATTTGCCTCAGATTTCTAGAGGGAATGAAAGAGGAACTAATATTTATTTAGCATCAATCTTAGTCTAGGGAGCTAAAGAGAGACCAGTGGTAGGTTTGGAGTAGAATTTTCACCTTCCACGCAGGAAAAGGGGAGGATCAGTGAAAGAGAGAAAGATCTTAAATAAGATCTGATTGCAACAATGGGCTTGAGCATGAGAGATGATGTTAGGTCAAGGTTTCATTCTGTTGTTTACAGGGTCAAGATAGGTCATTGTAGACTGTATGCACCTAACAAAAACAACAACAAAATGTGGGAGACCTCAGCTCAATTCCCAGGCAATGTACCTCCCATGTGTTAATGGAAGCATGTGTGTTGTTATGATGCTGTCAACTGAGGATCCAAACTAGAAGACTCAGTCATTTACTTCCAAAAATCAACCAGTGAAACAGTACGGATCACAATAATTTGGTCCATGACAAATTATGGAGACAACACAGAGCAAGAAAGCATTTTGTTTCATTAAGTCAGGAAACAGCTAATAACAAGAAAACTTAGAACACTTTAGTAAAGATGATCCTCATGTTCACCTCTTAGCAGATGAGGTTTTGTCCGGGCTGATGTGCCTTACAGTGTTTAGAGAGAATTTAGGGTGTTCTATACAACACTGGAATCTGTAATGGATAAAATGCTGCCTCATACCTTACAATAGACTGAGATGCCTAATTTTTTTTTCTATAATTATATTTTATTAATTTTCATACACATTTACAGAGATTTTGGGCTTCCACTCATTCATTGTTGCACTATTCTCTCTACCCTCCTCCCAGTTTGTT